CAGGAATGCAGGCTGGAAAAAAAAATGGTGAGAACAGCATTGAAATTTCCCCTCCCTTGCCACTGATTGAAAAGCACACACACACTCATTGTCTCTGGCACAGCCGGAACAGCGTGATCCCTTTATGAATTGACATCTTAGTGCTGAAAGAGGGACACGCCGCTGAGAGCACTGAATGCACGCAAGTACCCAGCACTGCTTACTTCTGGGCAGCCCTATTTGAAGTCAGTCATTTGACTGAGAGCTTGGCAGGGAGGAAGAAGGTGGCAGGAGAAAGAGGATAGTTGGGCAAAGCCAGAGGTAAGAGACACTCGGGCACCATAAGCACAGAGAAGGTCAAAGATGAGGCAAACAAAACAGAATCCAGACCCAAGCCACAACAGGTTTCCTGCCTCAGCTTCCAAAGCCAGGCAAGAATTTCTAGTACAGTGGGCAATCACCCCCCACGTACCCAGACCTCCCCCAAGTCTTTCCCTGTTCAACATTTTTCTGAGACATTTTTGCCTTTCATCCAACCTGCACCAAATTTCTTGGTGCTTGGTTTTAGAGGGAGGTAATCCTCCATTTCCTGTCATTAACTGCAGAACACAAGCACAGCTTTCAGAGACAGTGGCTGACTGGAGCAGACAGATCCCAAATGCCAGAGACCCCACCTCACCCCTGACGTTTAATACCACGTTCTACATGGCAAGTGCCAATGGGACATCAGATGGGTCCCTGCTGCCACACTGAAGCAGCCACTTCTGACCAAAATTGAGCTATTAGAGGACACAAGCTGGGGGCAAAGGAGAGCAAATGGGATCCAGGGTTTCTGATGGCTGAAAAGCAGCTGAGGACCTACCACTGCTCTGCCCTGTTTCAGATCTCACAGTACAGCAAGCAAGCGTGTGCAGTGGGGTCCAAAACAGGGGGGTAAGAAAGCAGCATTGAAACAGGCTATGCAGATTTCACTCCAAAGGTAAAAGAACCCCTTCACCTTTACTTCACATCAGTGTTTTTAACCAGATAGGAATCCACAGGGCTTTTAATAGTTAATGGCAGTAACAGCTACCTGTGCCATTCACCCCCCATAAATCAGAACTGGTTAGGCTAATGACCATCACCAGCAGACAGCCCAGGCCATGCTGGAAGTGTACATCCCTATTCAGTCCAACAGACACTTCTCACAGAATAAGAAGCAATTTTCAAAGTCATCACTAGCCTGAGAGAAAAGATCTGCCCCCTGCACCCCTCCCCCTGACAAGCCAAGGCTGTCTCAGGGGCTGTCTGCACAGTGGTTTTTCCAGCTGAGCTCTGCAGTATAATTATAATCACTAACTCATTGTGTTGACACTTACCTTAGGAGAAGTATCCATACAAGGAGTTAGTTATGCTAAGGCAACTTACAGCAGGAGCACAACTAGACTAGCAAATCCCCTTAGGAGAAGAAAACATCCCCCCGAACCCCCCTGAGATTTTAACCACACTTGGGTCTAAGGAATCGCTGGCACCAGTCACATTAATGCAGTTTCCATCAACACTCATTCCTCAGAGCAGCAAAGCAGACAAAGGAGCTTCCCACCTCCTCAGTTCAGCCATTTCACTCAAGTGCAAATCCCCATACAAGGGCAAGAAACAGCAGGGATGGGTGCAGCAGGACTAGTCCTACCACTTGCAGGTAAGCCAGCTGAGGTGCTGTAAAGGGGCTGAATTTTGGAAGGGGAAGCCTACCTGAACCCAGCCAGGGTGACATGCACCAGAAGTGTCACCTTGGCAGCATGACACTCAGCTGCTAAACTAGTGCCAGATGCTGTGCCCCAGAAAGGTGAGGCCAGAGACAAGCAACAGCCCTGGGAAGCTGCTTGCCACATTCCCAAGAGGTGAGTATGAGAAAAGATGTTCTGCCAACTACCTACCAATGAAAGCAATGGCCTCAGGAAAGAACTGTGAGAGGTTCTGGCTCCAGTGATCTGAGATGGGGATCTGCTTGTACTTGAACTCTCCGTCATGCTCAAACATGTTTGGCAGGTTGGGAGTCACATTCAGGATGTATTTAATGCCATATTTGCCCAGGACATCCAAGTTGGTTGAATCTTTGGCACAGCCCAGGTACAGGTAAGGTAGGATCTGGACTGGAAAGGCAGGCTGATTGTTAGGGATGGGGCTCCCATCTGACTCCGTGGCACTGCTGGGTTCCCGGTCAGATTCACCATCCGAGCAGTCAGAGCTTATCCGGAGCCCCCCCAGGCCAAGGACCGATGCTGGGGGAGAGTTGCTGGGGGAGGAGCTGTCAAGGTTCGTCTCGCAGTGCTCTGAATATTCAGTTTGAAACTTGTTAAAACCACCTGGGAAGGGGGAAAAGAGAGATGGAAGGGGAGAGGCAAAAAGAAAAAAGTAAAAACATCTTAGTCTTCAGACTATGAAAACCTTCTATCTGAACACATATACATGTTACTTAACAAGTCTTTGCCAGAAAAAAGTTGGGGTATCTTCAACTTCTCTCCCAAGACAGACATCTCCCTGCTCCCTTCATCTTCCCTGGGCAGACTTACTGAGCAAACAGGTCCCAGAAAACCAAAGGGAGTTTCTTACCAAGCTTGAGATTTCTTGTGATAATAGGGGTTAAATCTCAAACACAGAAGAAACATCCCAAAACAAAATCAATAGCAAGAGACAATCTTGCCTTCTTTAGCTTCTCAGAAATTTGGGTATGGGGCAGTTTAGGCAACAGCTATTATGCCACCTAAACAGAAAAGCACAAAAGTATCTCCATCTGAAAAGATAAAGCAAGAACGACAATCACATACCCAGCCCAGGGTAATAAAACAATTCACCTTCAAGCAGGAAAAAAAGGCCATAAGCTTTGCCACAGAGCCATCCTCACACCTACTTTATCCCTACAAACATATTTTGCAACAGAATAGCACCATTGGTTTGTCCTTCCCCCAAACTGCAGCAGGCTTGAGAAGGGATGGGACCCCTCATGTCGGGTCCTAAGTCCTTTTCTCTGGCTCCTCAGCTCAACAGTTTAAGAAGGAAGGCAGAGGCAGGGAAGCAAAACCCCCTCCAATCTACCTCCTTTCCAGGCGATATTAAACGGGAGCTCAGTCATCGGGATCTGACACTGACAAATGGTTTAATTAGAAAGGCCTCCTGGAAACTTTGTTAGTGGGTTCGGTGGTTGTGGCGGGGTCACCGAGCAGGACAGACAGCTCCTGCCACATCCATTCATGAAAAAGGCTCGTCCTCGTCCTCCTCCCCCCCCCGCGCCGCCAGACAGCGCCGAGGAGCCATTTTGGAATTTTAATTGGAAACATTTCCCACCAAGGCTCCCGGAAAAGGGCAGAGGAAGGAGCTCTGCTCCTCCTCTGCCCATCGGCGAGAGCTTAGGAGCAACTTCAAAGCTGCTCCCTCCTGCTAAGAGCGAGGACGACGGGGAGAGAAACGGGAAAACAAAGCCAAGGAGGAACGGAGCCCACGGGAAACCCCAAACCGGGATGGGGACTGATCCACGAGCAGGGAGCGGAGGGAACTGGGGACAAACAGGATCAACTCCTGTGCTTGCCCCCCTCGCCCCACGTTACCTCTGACAGAGGGTGGTGCGGGCAGCGCGGCCCTCAGGGCTGGTCCCCAGACCCTGCCTGTCTCCCCTTCCCCCCAGCCCCGCACCAGGGGCTCCCCGGCTGCCCTCCCCCCAAAAAAAGGATCTATTAAGAACCGTTTTTTAAAGAGCTGCAAGTGGCAACTTTCCTCACCATTCTCCCCCTCCTCACACTCCTCCGCTCTCCTGTTATTTCTGCCTCAAACCCGCCACCCAGCGACCGCACTGGGAGGACTGGGAGGACGGGAAGGGTCCCAGCAGCCCAGCTGTGGGCTCTGCCCAGCTCGCTGCGGAGGCCTGCTGGGCTCTTTCAAAACGGCCAAAAAAATTAATAACAATAAATAATAAAAATAAAATCCCACAACCTCAAAAATCCAAGACCCCAAACCACCTCCAGCCTTCACGAACGGGCATGTGCGGGGCTCGGTCCCTCCGCATCAGAGCTGCCCGCTCCTCCATCGCCCCGTCCCGGGGGAGCAGCCGAGCTGCGCCCCACAAGCACCGCCAGCATCCCCAGGGAACGGGGGAGCAAAACCAAAGCGCGTTTGGAGATGCGGGGAACGGAAAAACAAAACAAACAAAAAAAAGGGACTCTCTTGCCTCCTTCCCCCCCCAAAAAAAAACCTGGCCATCCCTTCCAGAGCGGAGCCCGGCGCCGGGGAGCC